TCCTGCTGTGACAAGCTGTGTGTATATATCCAGCAGGGCCAGTGATACCAAATATCTTGCCATATTCTAAGAAGGGAAGGGCATTGCAGGCCATGAGGCCTGACTTGACTTCTAGATTGGGTTACCGAGCTAATCTTCAGTTGCCTTTGCTCTTTAGGGGCTTTTCCCCTTTATAAAATAGGCCCAAAGAGTCTCTTGTCCCAGAATAAAGAACATGATAACTATTCTCATCAACTGTCCATTGATTAGACTTCCATGTGGCCAGTGCAATCCCAGGATCCAGTCTGCTGGACAAATATGGAAGTCAAGTCCCACCATTCTCTGAGAAAGGAAGGCTTTGGCAGCTATTGAAGGACTTGAGCCTGGCTGGTATGTTAAGGATGAACCTCTTTGCCCTGTCTTTCAGTTAGCCTGATTAGGAGGCTTAGTCTAGTCATCTGTGCTGGTATCACCAATTCTAGCTATTCTGTCTTCTCTTAAGAGCATCGTGAGGTCAGCAAAAGAGCCAATTGTTAGACAATGGGAAGGCTGCAGAGGGCCTGCTCCATACCTGATTAGGTCATTAGCTAGCTATGGGACCTCTCCTAACTCACTTAAACTTCCTGGAGTTGACTGTACTTCTATGTGGGGAGGGGGATAGCCTGAGTCTTGGCTTACTGCCTGGGATCTGCTTTTTTACCTCTTTCATGCCATTCCATTTTTTTTCTGGTAGGGGAGAGACCCAACTTTCACTGTTTCCTACCTTTCATACATGTTCTTCAGAAAAATCTCTATTCAGATAATTTGCCCATTTTTTAGTCAGATTACTTGGGTTTTTGTTTGCTTGTGTTTTTTTTTTTTTTTTTGGTGTTTGTTTTTTTTTTTGGCTATTGAGTTGTGTGAGTTCCTTATATATTTTGGATATTAACCCCTTATGAGACATATGGTTTGCAAATGTTTTCTCCCAATATTTATGTTTCCTGTTCATTTTATTGATTGTTTCCTTTGCTGTGCAAAATCTTTTTAGTTTGATGTAGTCCCATTGTTTATTTTTGCTTTCATTGCCCGATCTTTTGGTATCATATCCAAAAAATCATTTCCAGGACCAATGTCAAGGAGTTTTTCCCCTATGTCTTCTTCTAAGAGTTTTATGGTTTTAGATCTTACATTTAAGTTTTTAATTCATTATGACTCTATTTTTGTGTATGGTGTAAGATAAGGGTCCAATTTCATTCTTTTGCATGTGGATATCCAGTTTTCCCAACACTATTTATTGAAGAGACTATCCTTTTACCATTGTGTATTCCTGGTGCCCAGGTCAAAATTTAGTTGATCATATCTGTGTGGGTGTATTTCTGGGCTCTCTGTTCTGTTCCATTGGTCTATATGTCTGTTTTTATGTTAGTACCATACTGTTTTGATTACTATAGTTTTGTAATATAATGTGATACCTCCAACTTTGTTCTTCCCAAATATTGCTTTGGCTATTCAGTCTTTTGTAGTTACATAAAACTTTATAATTACTTCTTTTATTTCTCTGAAAAATGCCAATGAAATTTTGAAGTGGATTGTGTTGAATCTGTGTATTGCTTTGGTTAGTATGGACATTTTAGAAATATTAATTCTTCCAACCCATGAACATGCATATCCTTTCATTTATTTGTGTCTTCTTCAATATCTTTTGTCAATGTTTTATATTATAGTTTTCAGTGTACAGATCTTTCACCTCCTTGTTTAGATTTATTCATAATTTATTCTTTGTGATGCTATCATAAATGGGATTATTTCTTGATTTCCATTTTGGATAGATTGTTATTGTTGTAAAGAAATGCAATTGATTTCTGTATGTTGATTTTGTATCCTGTAGCTTTACTGAACAATTTTTTTTTATTTCTAACAGCTATTCTTTTGTGGAGTCTTTAGGGTTTTCTACATGTAAGATCATGTCATCTGCAAACAGGGATAATTTTACTTCTTTTATGATTTGGTGGTCTTTTATTTCTTTTTCTTGTATGATTGCTTTTGTTAGAATTTCCAGTACTATGTTGAATAGAAGTGGTGAGAATGAGCATCCTTGCCTTGTTCCTGTTCTTAGAGGAAAAGCTTTCAGTGTTTTCCCTTTGATTATGATATTGGCTGTGGGCTTTTAATAACGGCCTTTACCGTGTTGGGGAAATTTTCTTCTATACCTATTTTGTTGAGAGTTTTTATTATGAAAGGATGTTGAACTTTGTTAAATGTTTTCTCTGCACCTATTGAGATAATCATATGTTTCTAATTTTTCATTTTTTTAGTGTGATGTATTATATCAATTGATTTTCATTCAGTAAATCAACCTTGCATTTCAGGGATAAATCCCACTTGGTCATAGTGTATAATCTTTTGATGTGTTGTTGAATTTGGTTTGCTAGTATTTTATTGAGAATTTTTGCATCCATGTTCATCAGAGATATTGGCTTGTAGTTTTCTTTTCTTATTGTGTCTGTGGCTTTGGTATCAGGGTGATGTTGGTCTCATAAAATGAATTTGGAAGTATTATCTCTAATTATACTTTTTGGAAGAGTTTAAGAATGATTGGAATTAATTATTATTTGAATGTTTGGTAAAATTGAACCTTGAGTCTTCTGGTCTTGGACTTTTCCTTGTTGGGAGGTTTTTGATTGCTGCTTCAGTCTCCTTATTTCTTATTGGTATGTTCAGACTTTCTGTTTCTTCTTGATTCAGTCTTGGTAGGTTGTCTGTTTTTAGGAATTTATCCCTTTCTAGGTTATCCAATTTGTTGACATATAATTATTTGTAATAGTCCCTTACAGTCCTTTTAATTTCTGAGGCATCTGTTGTAATATCTCCTCTTTAATTTCTAATTTTATTTATTCTTTTCTCAGTATAGCTAAGGGTTTGCTGGCTTTGTTTATTTTTTTTGAAAAACTCTTACTTTTGTAGTATTTTTCCCTATAGTTTGTCTATTCTCTCTTTGACTTAGTTCCGATCTTTATTATTTATTTATTTCTGCTACCTTGGGATTTAATTTGTTCTTTCTCTAATAATTTAAGGTGTAAGATGAGGTTGTTTATTTGTGATATATCTTCTTTTTTTAATGTAGGCATTTGTTGCTATAAACTTCCCTTTTACTATTCCTTGTTATGTATCCCATACTTTTGGTAAGTTGCATTTTTGTTTTTATTCACCTCATGATATTTTTACAGTTCCTTTTTTGATTTCTTCTTTGACCGAGTGGCTGTTCAAGAGTATGTTATTTATTTTTAAGTATGTGTGAATTTTCCTGTTTTCTTGCTGTTTGATTTCTAGTTTCATTCCGTTGTGGTTAGACAAGATACTTGGAATGACTTTAATCTTTTAAATTTGTTAAGATTTGTCTTGTGACCTAAAATATGACCTATTCTGAAGAATGTTCCATGTGTGCTTGAGAAGAATGTGTACCTTTTTACTGTTTGGTAAAAAGTTCTGTATATGTCTATTAGATCCATTTGATCTTTAGTGTAGTTCAAGTGCACTCTTTCTTTATTGATTTTATGTTTGGATGCTTTATCCATTATTGAAAGTAAGGTTTTGAAGTCTCCCACTATTATTGTATTGCTGTCAATTTCTCCTTTCCAGTCTGTCAATATTTGCTTTATATACTTAGCTGCTCTGATGTTGGGTGCATTCATATTTACTATTTTTTATATGTTCCTGTTAAATCGACCCTTTTACCATTATGAAACACCATTTTTTTTCTCTAAAGACTGTTTTGTCTGGTATAACTACATACTCCTATTTTCTCTTGGTTACAATTTGCATAAAATATCTTTGTCATCCCTTTACTTTCAGCCTATGTATGTCCTTAAATATAAAGTGAGTTTTTTTGTAGACAACATACAGTTGGATCTTAATTTTTTAATCCATTTAAAAACTCTGTATTTTTATAGGGTATTTTAGTCCATTTACTTTTAAAGTAATTATTGATAAGGAAGGATTTAGTATTGTCATTTTTTTAAACTATTTTCTCTTTGTCTTATAGTTCTTTTGTCCCTCTTTTCTCTGTTTCTGTCTTCTTCTTTGTTTCATTTTTTAATTCACGTCAAGTGTTCCCCTGATCTGAGATGTCATCAGTCTCATGCGAAGGTCCTGACTGATACAGAAGCCTCAGAATCAGCTCTCCAATTGTACTGACAACCCAGGGCCGAGGTTCTGCAGCTCAGGATTAATCTCGATATCTGTCTATTCATCATCCCTGCCTTCCGTACTTACTTATAGCTCATGGGTCTCCAGTTTTAGCTCCTCATTCTTTTTTATATATATTGTTTGCCTCACCCTTGGAATTTTCCTTATTTTCTGGTGAGCTCATCAATCATAAAAATTCTGTTTCTTTTAATAAATTAGACTCTATTTGCATTTAGCAGGATAATATTTCAGAATCTGGTTCACCATCTTGCTTGATGTGTACATTTCAATGCTAAATTTGAGGGGTGCCAGGGCTAAAATCTAGCCAAGCCCCTTTCAATGTTAAGCAAATTTGATATACATAAAACAGACTATTGATGTGTGAGTGTGTCTGTCTGTTCTAGTTGCTAGGCATGAATTGGTTTTGTTACAGAGTAAATGAGCCATGTGTCCACTGTCCACTTACCATCTTCTGAGGACAAAATCATGAAGAGAATTAAAGATACGTAATTCTAGAAACTTTAGAGTTTACGTACTATTTTATTGCTATTTTTATCATATTCAGTAGTAATATCAGTATTATAAAGAAGAAAAAGTGTTTTCAGGAACATAAAACTGGCTTTAGAGATTTGCAAAGGAGAGAAATTTTATGTTTATAGTTATCAAAAGGTTTTAGTATTGTATTTCAAAGCAAATGGTAACTTTTAAAATAATGTGGTTCATTAATAAATGGTATAATATGTTAAGATTTAAATATTTCACAGAATCTCAAATATGACATCAGGCACCACATTTTACAGGGAAGACACTGTTATTCACCACTAAATGACAGCAAATAAATAATTACTGATCTGTGACTATAATCTAGAAGATCTGCATTCTTGCACAATGGTCCTTCTCAAAATTATTATTAACTTTTTGGGTATAATACACAGTAAACTACAAAATAAATTGCACATGCTGAAGAGTAAGGAGTAAAACAAATTGCACATGCTGTATAATATACAAAATAACAGAATTAGAAATTTGACATACAATTGAATACAAAATAAAATACACAGTTGTGTTTTGATTAGGGCCCTTCGTAGGCAATTTGCTTTGGCCACGGTTGTGCGACATCTCTGAATTTCCATGTACTCTATAAGATTCCCTCTGAAATCCTTTAATTTTTCCTCTGACCTGACAGATCCACATTTTGACCCTTGTGCGAGGCTGTACAGCCCATTGGTATAGTGGCCGCCCCTCTTCTCCATCATCAAGCCCTTAATTAAGTCCATCAGCTCCTTCACTTGGTCATCCTGATCACTCCCCTTAGCTCGGTTATTAAAGGCACAGACTCGCCCCCTACATGCTGCCACCAGCTTGTTGAGGGCTTTGTTGTCTGAGTCACGGATGTAATCCATCAAGGAGCCACCATCGAGGTCTTCCTTGTGGGTAAAGAGGACAATTGTGTGTCTCATGGCATCCCCTCCAAAGATCTCCTGCATCCTCTGCACAGCCTGCTGGTCCTGGGTAGTGTATCGGCCCAGCTGGGTCACGAGCAGCAGCACATGGGGGCCTGGGGCAGAGAGTAAGTAGCACCTCTGCACCTCTTTATACAGAGCTTCAGAGTGGTCCTTCTCATAAAACATACCTGGTGTGTCAATAACGACCATCTCTCTCTCTTCCCAGCTTCCCCAACCTTCACTGCAAGTCTTAGTCAAGGTCTGGGCACTCAGTCTCGACTCAAATGCTTGTTTCCCGAGGACGCTGTTCCCTGTAGCACTTTTGCCGGTTCCTGTTTTGCCCACTAGAATGATTCTCAGCTCTGATCCACTTACATGTTGCCTGTTTGTATGTGGTCCTGTTAGGAACAAGTTTACTGTGTTATTACTATACTGATCATGACAATGGGATATTTTCAATGACAAGGAGGTATCCCTCATTATGGGAAAAGATACTCTCACAATCTATTGTATTTATGAAATAAAAGCTAACTCCATTATCAAATAAAATATATTAATTACAGTTTTTAAAACATCTCGGTTTCTCTAGGACTGCAGGGTATTGCTATATTGGTCCCTGAAAGAACATACTTAGAGGATAAGATGGATTTGGAAACATATCTCATCATGCAATGCTTGCCTGAATCACTCAGTTGTGGCCCTTTCAAAGACAAATTTTCTGGAGATCAGAGATGTGTAGCAAAGACTGTGGGTTCCATCTCACAGTGGGCCAATTAACCTGGCTCTGTTCCATGGCCAGAGATGGCTCCTCTGACCTTAGCTGGACAGAATACAGTCATGACCACCAGGGAAATGGCTGGACCAGAGAAATAACAGAATGAGAAGTGTGAATTATTTTTACTAATAAAGAAACAGCTGATAGTTTATAAAGGATATCGTAATTTTGCTTAGAAAGAATAGCACAATTTTATATAAATTAGGCACAGAATATGGTAAACTCCCTTCTCTCCTTCCCTGTATTCCTTCAACGTGTGTAAGGTTCTGGGGAGAGAAATGAATGGGGACAGAGGTATAAAGAAGCTTGAGGCTTTGAGCAAAAATTGTGTCTCAGAGACATGAAAGGGGAAGGCATGGGAGCCAATGTCTCTAATAACAACTCCAGGGCTTAGCCTCCAGATTCTCTGCAAGGAGAGTTACAAGAGTCACTGCTTAGGGAAGCCTGAAACGTAACTTCCTATCACGTACTTATAGTTCTCCCAGTGTAGATATCATGCCTCCATCATGGGAAATTTTCAACCACAAGCAAAGTTTCTAACAATGTTGTAGACATTTTACTCTTATTAAATTACCAGAGAGTCATATATGGAAAGTTTAACCAAAGATTAAATTCTCATGCAGAGAGGAAGGGAAAGTGTTTGTTAATCTTTTACCCATTGGTTCCTTTCTTTGTACCTTATTTTATCCTATTTTGCGCATAAACCTGCAACTTGCTCAAGAACATAAAACTATTAAAATTTACAAATTTCATAAATAGAAAAGTTGGCATTCTAACTTGTTATATGCCTGAAGCATTAGTGCTTTGTCATGTTGCTCTGCCAACCCTTGTTGCATGTATGTAAGTATTTTCTCTCCTAATCAAATTTACTGCAATTTGTGGACATCTTATCATATTTTTCCAGTGCAGTTATTGCCTCACAATAGACATATAATAGAAATTTTGCTTAAAAGGAAATAGGCACTAGGCATTTTTACATTCTGAAAACAGAAGCCAAAGAGTTCCTGATCTACCCCTCCAAGGCTTGCTTAGAGGTGGCCAAACTGCATTTTTGACCTTCGTCTAACGTACAACGAGTAAATGACGGAATCACTGAAGAGAACTGGTGGGAGTCCCTAGTTGCTGGCCCCACAGGGAGCACTGTGTCCTTCTCTCCCACGGGGAGGGCACGGGGAAGAGAGCTCTCTCTGGTGCCAGCCAAGTGGGGGGAGTCTCTGAAATGACCACTCATGAATATTGTACATGCCTCAAGAAACTGAGAGACAGACATCTCACTTCCCAGATGAATGTTTGCTGAACTACAGAAACTTGTAAATCTACCCAAGTGTAGCAAAGTGAAGAGAATTCTAGAGCAAATTTTTGAAAGAAATAAGCAGATATTACCTGGAGTTTGAGGACATGTATGAACATGGACACACATGTCCATTTCCTCTCTGGAGAATTCCAGATTTGGAAGGTTGGCTAGAGCCACCTAGGAGACCAAGGCAAGCAATAATGGCCTAAGGGGCTTCCCATGGACAGAATGAATCCTACAGAAAATAACTAGGCACAGCCGTCTTGATGGGAGCCTGCCCACCAAGGGAGTGTGAGGGTAGGAAGATATGAGGGCTACTGCCGAGGGAAGGAGCTGCGGTCTAGTCAAAGCAGTCACCAGAGAGTGTGCGGCTGTGTCAGGGGAGTGTGTAGAGCGTCAGTACTTGATGGCAGTGAGGACCAGCACAGAGACAGCAGCAGGGACAATGGGACCCAAGAGCTTTGGCCTCTTTCTCCAATTGCCCCTCCCCCTGCCTGACTGGGAGGGAGGGACGAATAGGAGGGCTGAGGAGGCAGAGCTGGAAGTGACAGGAGGACCTCTGGAAGGTTCCAGCACTCAGTCTGAGGCTGAACTGGAGGAAGGGGAAGCCAGCATAGAATGTTAAATTTGACAGTAGACTGGACTGAACATTTCAACACCTGACATACGTGTCATAGTTATTTTAATAAGACTGTTCTTATGGTCCATGCTCATCAGAAAGGAATCTGCCTAAGATGGAGATAAGAAGTCAAGATTGCATAATTAGAAGCTGTGTTGGGAGGGAAGAAAGTTGCTTATCATTTGGATCTCATAGAGTTCAGCTTATTCAACAAACAAGTTCCAGGCACAATGAAGCCAGAGATCCCCCTATTCTCACAGACAGGGGTTGTGAGTGAACTTGGAGGGGAGGGAGATCTGGGCTCTTCTTGGTGTGAGAGACTGAAGACAGCTGGTGAGGGGCAAGGAACAAGGAGGGGGCAGGAAAGGAGAGGACAAGACGCAGAGAGAGAAATCTGGCACACACAGATGGAAGCAGGGACAGGGGAGGGGAGGGGAGGGGAGGGATGAGAGACGGGAGGGGATGGGGAAGAGAGAGAGAGAGAGAACCTGCTGAAAGGAGAGAGAGGGAAGAGAAGAGTGAATGGCAGGAGAAGGAATATTCTAGGCAGATCTAAAAGATCCCTGTATAAGGGAGAAGTTTGGATGTGTATTTTGGTTCCTGGTAGAATATTTTAGCAGTTTTGAGCTGGTGATGGTGGTAGTGGTGGGAGTTAGAATAAGATCCCTTGTCCCCCCACCCACCTTTGTAAAATTTTGCCCAGACATCATCAGAAAGAGCCAACCACACAGACACAGGAGGTTCCTTTCTCACCGGAACATCTGCTTTCATTTTGCTCCATTGGTGTTCCTGAGGGACAGAGAGACAGGGAACTTTATTTTTCTGTTCTAAATCACAAAAGGCCCTTACATTTCTAGACAACCATGTTTCCTTTGCCTGCTCGTAATGGACAAGGTGGGTGGGAAGAGAACTACTTACTCTTCCTGTCTTACAGGGATATTGAGTCACCTGCCCAAGCCTCCCAGAGAGCTGAGGAGCGGACTTCATCTATAAATCCCATGCCTGGCTCTCTTGTGGCTTTTTCCTCTCACAAATCCTCTCAGTCCCCGTCTTTGGCTTTCCCCGGCCACACACCCTTCACTTTTCTCGGAGTCTGTTCTTGGGCGTCCCCTCCCCGCATGGGAGGCTCAGTCCTCTCCTTTTCTCCTCCCACTTCCTCCTTCCTCTTCTCTGCCCCCCCAACCCCCTCCCTTCATGTTGAGTCTTTGCTGAGACACTCAATGAATTAAGAGCATGACTCCTGGAAAGTAGACAGTCTTTAAACCAGACACACACTTCATTTGATCCATCAATTACTTGAATTTTCCTCATTCCCGGCAGTCACTGATGATGGAGCCCTTGCAATCTAGTAACTTCTCACATGCAGCGAAAAGCATCGGCTTATTTTCATCAGATAGTTTCTCTTGCTTAAATCTGGCAGGCACAGACCAAGCCTACTAGCACACCAAACTTGTAACCACATGTTAATGCCTGAACTCTTCCTAGTTAGCCCTTTTCATTGGCTTAATGCTAAGGAAACTCTTTGCCTGTAATGTTTAAAACGAATTATATGTAGTTATCCTGTAACCTGGCTTCATTTAAGCTAAAGGAAGTCACTCTGAATTGTTTCCCTTAAAACAGGGCAAATTTGTTCTAAAAAAAGTTAAAAACGTATGCATGGCCTGGGACCCAGAAACCAAGATCAGAACTTTTTGTAAATATAAGCTTACCTGATTTGCTGTCAAGGGAAACAGATGGCTGTCCGTTCAAACCTGTTACTCTCCAGCTCAGCTCGAAGAGAAAAACAAACGGAAACAGAAACTCCCCACGGTCTTCTTCTTTTTATCTCTGCTGAGCTTCTCAGCTGCAAAAGAACCCCACCAAGTGCCTGCGTTTGGAAGTCTCTTTTCTGTCAATGTACAAAATAAACGGTTCATATGTGAAAGTTAATCAGCAGTTATTTGCTACCATATGGACCAATCTTCTTTTTAAAAGTGAAAAAAGAGTGTGTGAATGATTTCATCTGGACAGGAAAGAAAGACAACGATGCCAGGGGAGTAGTAGATTTGGTTCCTTCCCATGCCGGCTGTGTCCCAACAGTTCGAAGTTTGCCTAAATGCAAAAGTCCCTCTGAGAAGGGCTTAGACCTCATCCACGCTGGCGGCAGGGACTGTTCTAAAGGCAGGTGCTGCTGGGGGAGAGGGGAAAGCTCGGGAGTGGGGGGCACCTCTGCCAGGCACTGTCCAGGGGAGAAGGACGCAGGAAAGGAAGCCCGAGGACAGCTGGCGTTGTCTGAGTGGCCGTGAGCAGCAGTCGTTAGCCATCCAGACATTTAGCTGTAAATTGCCCATGGCCTCTGGGCATCCAGGCTGCTTTTTCCTGTCCAGCTCTGTAATTTCAGGGAACGTACCCCTGGGGAGAAATCACCTAGGAAATGTCTACAATAATAACCTGTAGGTTTCTATTCAGGAAGAAAAACTCAAACAGTTAAAGCTGAAATTATACAAATATTTTTTTTCTTATATGTAAGACAACCACCACATCAGGGAAAGAGACAAAATGGGATTTACATTGTCTTTAAATACCCCAGATTAGTAGTGACACATATTGCTGTCTTTCCCAGTCTCTTGATCAGGAACAATCACGTAGCCCTAAAATCTCTATAAGGGAGGCTGGGAAATGCAGTGGAGCCCCTGGCACGTGGGTGAACACTAGCACCTTTACAACACACTGCTACTGCTTTGTTTTGTATTCTTGCAGGTCCTTTACCATATAATCTCTTAAATGTGCTTACAGAACAATACAACATGGGCACCTCCTGCTTAATATCAGTTCATCTATTCCTAAAAATAAAACATTGTGGGCCGGGCGCGGTGGCTCACGCCTGTAATCCTAGCACTCTGGGATGCCGAGGTGGGTGGATCGCTCAAGGTTAGGAGTTCGAGACCAGCCTGAGCAAGAGCAAGACCCCCGTCTCTACTAAAAAATAGAAAGAAATTATCTGGACAACTAAAAATATATATATAGAAAAAATTAGCCGGGTATGGTGGCGTGTGCCTGTAGTCCCAGCTACTCGGGAGGCTGAGGCAGTAGAATCGCTTGAGCCCAGGAGTGTGAGGTTGCTGTGAGCTAGGCTGACGCCACGGCACTCATTCTAGCCAGGGCAACAGAATGAGACTCTGTCTCAAAAAAAAAAAAAAAAAACATTGTGTTTAAAAACACTAACTGAGACCCATTTCCTATTGATTTATATGGAAAACAAATATAATGCAACATATATCAATCCCAAAGCCCATCAATTTTCTAAATCATATATAAAATTCAGTAAGCACCTATATGTAAGAAAAACTGTCACCTTAAACTACAAAAGCTTAAAATAGTGCATTTCTGAATACCAAAAAAGGAAAGCTATTGGATAATGTAACAGGAATCCAGGCAGTCTACTCGGAGAATTCGCTGGATTAGCACCATGACTTACGCTCATTCATCCCTCTGCTTGTCCATTTTCAGTGCTGGCTGTGTTTGCATTTTGGTAGAAAGATGGATTTATAGTTCCATGAATAACACTCAGGTACAACGATGTCTAGAGAAAGAATTATGATCTTCCTTTTCTGTGACTCCCTTTTTAGGAGAAAGTAAACTTTTTTTTTACAGAAAAACATAAAATGATATATATGTGTATATCTAATAACAGAGCTGCAAAATACGTAAAGCAAAAATTGTTAGAACTAGAGAAAGAAACAGATGAACAAATAATTGGAGATTTTAATACTAGTGATTGCAATTAATTAGTTTATTTTAAAATCAGTGTATACACACTTTAGTCCCATTTCATTAAAGGCTTTTATCTGAGGTGTAAATTTGTAAAAAATTTTTAATGTTGATTGAGATATTTCCATGATTTTCTCTATTGACCTACTAATATTGTAAATTACATTAATAAGTTTCCTAATATAGGTGATAGGTACGTGTGTTTATGTAAAAAATTGGGTTCCAAGGAATGCAGACTGTGGAGAGGAAGATCAAATGCAGATGAAGGAGGCTGGTTCAGGGGTGCTCTCAGGATAAACACTTGCGGGAAGGGAAGAACACAGGATCAGGCAGGGAGAAGTTAGAGCGAGACGTAGTGACAATGAATGTCGACTCCACCGGGAGCTCTAAGGTTTGGATGGACCTTCAGAGTAAAGGTGAGGGGCTGGACTTCACGATTCCACCCAGCAGTTGCAAGCTGCCCCTGGGAAAGACACTTGACCTTCTGTAAGGCATCTGTCTTCAGCAGAAGCCAATTTCTGGACAGGGCAGACAGCTGGGCGTACTCCCCACAGCTGGAGGAATCGTTTTGTTTTTACGCTGTTCCTCTAGGTTTGGAGACTAAAATATTACTTCTCCTGCTTCATCCTTTGGGCCATCTGAAGAGAAGTCCTAGCATTGTTTTTAAAGCTCTCCCTGATGAAATTATTGCTTGGCCAAGTCTCTCTACTTCTGTCTCTTCTGAACACTGACCCATGAACATACAATGCCTGCATTCCGTGCTGCTGCAAGTGATGCGACCACAGCCTTAAGTGAGGGTCTGACAGATGCTGGGAGGAGGTGAGGATGGGAAGGGCCGTGGCTGAGCGTTGAGCGTGTTTTATGGTAAACTACGGAATTTACAATAATTCATTTTATTCTCCATGTCAAGGCAATTCTGGGAAACGGGTCGAGCCCTTGCAGTCATATTGAGACGTATTTGACAATCACTCTGTGGTTTCTTGTAAAGGGTTTATTTAGAAAGCAGTACTGTTTAAGAGAACATTCTGTGATGATGGAAATGTTCACTACTAGCCATATATGGCTGTCAGGCACTTGCAGTGTGGCTAGTGTGTTGGAGAAGCTGAATTTTACATTTTTTTCTTTGTTCGTCCCCTCCCCGCTTCTGCCTGCATAGCCCCAGCCCCGGGACAAGACCTGACTGAGGATGCATTTTACATTTTAATTTTAATTCATATAATTAAATGGCCACATGTGGCTAGTGGTTACCATTTTGGACAGTGCAGTTATAGAGTATATCATTTTTAATAAGATAATACAAAACATCGTGTTTAAGAAAAAGAGTGCACAAAGATATAATGAGAAATTGCAAAGCAAAAAAAAAAAAAAGGAACAAATGGATTTAACGCCCTCAAATTTCAAAACATGGAATGGGGAGGCTTGTTAGTATGAGTTTAAAATTTATGGTGTCTTCTTTTAGGCGTGTTTAGCTTCTCACCCTGCTAGGCAGTTTTCAACTCATCATTATATTTTGGAATAGCTAAGAGTTCAGAGGATGTTTAACCTCAGGGTAGCCCTCACTATTTGAACTCCTACAATTTGAATGTTGGCTATAAACAACTTGCAAACAATTTCACCCAAAATTCAGTATTTGAATCGAAACTCCACGGAAGCAAGCCTGGCTGTGCACACCAGCAGACACTGACGTCAGCTGTAAGTCTGGGGAGAGGGAAGCCGAGTGCACTGCGGTTTCTCTCAGCTGCTTCCCGACAGGATCTTGTCTCCCGCCCATATTGTCTGAGTTTATTTTTAATTGTGGCAATTGTCTTTTCCACATTATTAAGTGAAAATTTCTCCTATGAGACAGGAACAATTTATGGCTGACTCCCAGAGTTTCATGGAAATGATAGGTGCAAGGCGAAACACCACCACCAACAAAAACGAAGAACCCTACTTCGATCTTTTAAAAGAGTCTTGATTTAGTAATATGTACTTTGAAAAATATGAAGGACCGTTAGCCTTACGTAGCAAAGAATTTACTGCCAAAGAATTCATTCTAACTGATGATCAGAGTTGTTAGGAGTCAATCTCAGAAAATAATCTTAATGATTAAGTGACTAAATTTTTAAATTCAAAAAGTTTTAAAGAAAGTTTAAATCATACAAAAAACATCAGTCGAAGCATTCTACTGAAATATGCGCTTACGAGCACAGTGTCACATTACAAAGAGGTATGTGCTTGCAAGCAAAGGGAACACCAAGAGATGACCAATTTGAGCTTTTCCCATTACACTGCTTTGTCTATGAGTTTAAATGATGGGTCATAAACATTTCCTTCTGGAGGGGCAAGTGCAGTGACAATAAAGTTTCTTGGAACTGGACGTGGGTAAACCTCAGGCATGGATGCTTCTACCCTCCTCCAGCCAGTCAGTCCCGCACACTTCGCCCCCACTGAACAGCCATCATGAGGACTCTGATCTTCCTCCTCTCTCCTCCAAATCTCTTTTAGGCAACTCTGATAGGGAAATAAACATGTTTTAAATGATCTTTTTAAAAAATTTGTGAGTGAAATTCTAATTCTTCATTTGTATGAATCTATTTTTATATTTAACCCATTTTTCTGCATGCTTATAGAAGTGTGGTAAAAGGGATTATTTGTATTCATATCATTGCTTACTGTAGACAAATTTACAAGTTTGTTGTTAAATAAACTGATGAATAAAAATGCTGATCAATTAGCTGGTTGGCATTGAATGGCCTTACATTTTGTAGAAATCCTTGGTGATTGTTACTGTAGTTGCTTAGGAATGTTTTAGGCAATTGTTGGGGGTTGTGAATGGGCTAAAAATATATTGCTGCTTTTTCCCTTTAAATGGTGAAATATAGATTCCCTCAATCTGGAATTTTGCTATGTAAATTTTTTTTTTCTTTTGGATGTATTACATTCAGAACAAGGGATGCCTCTAGTGTAAGATATAGTGAGGTGGAAATTCGGAAGGTTCCGCAGGCCATGAAGGAAAGAGGCAGTGGGTGACCATCTCTGAGCATCTGAGGGCCCCTGGCTCCCACACAACCTGCTTTCTTGGCTTATAAGTCAAACAGTGAATGAAGCTGACAATAGCGCTTTTACATTTCTCTGACTTTACAATACTATGGTAAACTTCGGGAGTATAAAACCACCAGGAGAAGAGTGCTGTCACCTTGGTGAAGGAGTGGAGAAGTCATCTGGGACAGCCTCAACAGGTGCAACATGGAGAAGAACCTAGGAACACAGTTGACAACCAGAGGCTCTGCCTGTGGCCCCTGTCTATCTGTCCCCCCCTTCTAGAGCCATTTGAGCCACTCCAAACTGAGTGGCTCAGGTGCATGGAGCAGAGGCAAGTTGTACCCTTTGTGCTCTGCTCAAATTATTTTTTCTTTTTATTTCAAAATATTAAGGGGGTACAAATGTTTTTGTTACGTAGCTTGAGTCAGGGCTGTAAGTGTGCCCATCACCCA